AAGTTCTGCCTGTCTTTCTTCTTTTTCTTTTTCCAATTGTTTCAATTTAACTTCGTTTTCCAATTGTTTTAATTTAAATCCATCTTCCTTTTCTAATTCAAGTTGTTTTAATTTAAGTTCATGTTCTAATTCAAGCTGTTTTAATTTGAAAGCATCAACATTTTCGACCTTGAGTTCAAGAGCCTCTTCACCAAAGATTTCTGAGTCAACAAAATTGACTACTACCTAATTTTTAATAATTTGTTTTCTCATAGATCCTCTAAAATTAATTTTTAGATGTTTAGCAAGCAACACTAATTCCTCTTTCTTTAAGTTATCAAACCCTTCCAGGTCTGGCGTTTTCAAAAATTTACCGGCATCAAATGCCATTTTGTAGAATTTTGATGGCTAATTCTAATTCTATAAATACAGAAAATTTTAATCTGTTATTAACGTTATCCCGGACGAGCCCTCAATTTCTGTTACGGCCAGAAATCACCTTTAAATTGTAGCCAACAAAAGACACAAATCAAAAATAAAATTTAACAAGATTTATTATACACAAGTTTACAAGAAGTATTACACAAATAGAAATGTCAACTTAACTGTCAAAGTATATGTCCGATCTTTTGTCTTTTCTTTATCCGGAATTCTTCTCGGGAATCCAAACAGAATATTACGTCCAATAGGTCACAATCTAGTATGATGTTGTTCGTAAATAAAAGTGTCAATCCAACTGAGAGAAATTATGAGAATATTAATGTCTATGTCTGAATTTTAACTTTAGTGTCTGTAAATATACAGTTGTCACGGAAATCTATAGAAAACTGTAAAAGGGAAACTCCTAGAAAACTTTAGAACGGAATCTTCTAGAACAGTGTAAGAAGTTTTAATTACGCATCTTTTGATAGGATCATTCTGGAATCGTTATGTAAGTCAAATAGAAAGTTCTAATTATTCCATCAGTCTCTATGATTGTTCCAGTGATTTCTAAACTACACAGTTACAATATCATTTTGTAAACAACTATAAGGCCACACAGAACAAATTAGGCCAACTAAATAAATATGATAGTTACAATATCATAACATCATCAATAAATTACTAAATAATCATCATAACTGTCATAACTCACCATTACTATAACTATTAATCAAACCTGTCATTACTAACAATTATAATCATTACTCGCCATTACTGTTACTATTGACCATTATTGTCATTACTCATCATAACTGTCATTACTCACCATTACTGCCATTACGCACCAATACTGTCTTTACTCACCATAACTGTCATTACTCACCTTTACTGTCATTACTCACCATTACTGTTATTACTCACCATTACTGTCATTACACACCATTACTTTTTCTAACTCACCATAACTGTCAAAACACATCATTACTAACCATAACTAGCATTACCCCTTATTACTTTTATTACTAACTATAAATGTCATTACTAACCATGACTCATTATTACTAACCATAACTCATTATTACTAACCATATCTATCATTACTAACCATAACTCATTATTAATTACCATAACTATCATTACTCACCATTTCTTTTCTTATTCACCATTACTTTATTACTCACCATAACTGTCATTTATCACCGTTTCTGTCATTACTAACCATAACTGTCAAAACTCACAATTACTTTTATAACACTCCATTTCTTTTTATACTCACCATTATTGTCATAACTCACCATTACCCTCCTGCCTCACCATTACTTTTATTACTCACCATAACTGTCATTTATCACCGTTACAGTAATCACTTGCCGTTACTGTCATTACTAACCATAACTATCATTACTCATCATTAATTTTATAACTCATCAATACTATCATTACAAACCATTACTGTCATATATCACATAATTGTCATTACTAAAAATTACTTTAATTACTCACCATTACTTTTATTACACACCATAATTGTCATTTATTATCTTTACTGTAATGACTCACCGTTACTGTCATTACTTACCAGAACTGTTATAACTTACCATAAATTTCATAACTCACCATTATTTTTATTACTTACGATTTCTTTTATTACCCTCCATTACTGTCCTTACTCACCATTACTTTATTACTCACAATTACTTTGTTTACTCACTTCCTCTGAGTTCGGTATCTTTTTTTATTTTACTTTTTACTGTCATTACTCACCATTATTTTTATAACTCACTACTACTTTTATTACTCATAAATATTGTCATTAATCACCATTACTTTCATAACTCTCCAATATTGTGTTTACTCACTATTACTGCATCATAAATCATAAGTGTCATCACTCACATTACTGCCATTACTATCAATTACCTTCGTTACTCACCATTACTGTCCACACCTTGACTAAATTACTCACATTACTTTTATTACGCACGATTACTTTTCAACTTATTTTTGAACACATATACACAGAAATATTTAAAGAGATACGTGACGCCTTGCAATGTAGCAGAGGGTATGATACTGCTGAGAAATGGAAAGTTGACAATTTGAGTGTTGAAATCATCACTTTTGTTGTAGATTCTAGTTTGAAATCTTCCATATGTGTCAATATTGAGGAAACGATAAAAACATGAATCAGACCTTTTCAGCCGGAAATATAATCAATCTCAAGCTTACTGGGATATATGAGATGCAATATCTCACTGAAATACGGGTTATTGATAAGCAGGACATCATTAATATATCTGAAAGTGAAATTTAAGAATTTTGCAAAATTTGTTTGTCTTTGATAAGGTTTTGTATGAACTACGCTTCATACCAATACAAAAACAAGTCAGACAGTTAGGTGCACAAGTAAGACCGATTAAAATACCGATTATCTAATGAAATATAAATGCTCCAAACTCAACAAATAAGTGGTCAATAAAAGTTATCTGCATTTGGATGATATCATGTTCGGTGTATTTATTTAGAATAGGTTCTTCAAAAAGTAAGATTTTTCATAAGCTAGGTAAGTAATTTGCACCTACGATTTGCTTTTTTTGTAGAAAAGGCTCTATTTAATGAGACGTTGTATTCGATTTTTCCATTGAGCATGTGGAAAACTTGTGCACAGCGTAGAAAATCGAAAGTTTTGATATTACTGCAAAACTGTAAAGAATGTGATTAAAAATTTGAAGAAGATGTTTACAAATTTTAGGAATCCACATCTGATCGCTCTCTGAATATACCACATTGAATGTTTTAATGTAGAAAGAATGGTGATTAGAATCTTAGAAAGATTTTTAGAAATCGAATAACTTGACAAAACAGCTATTCCTCTTTAATTTGTAAATAATGTAGATGTTTAACAGTGAATTCCAAGTTTATTTTTTATAAACATTCCAAATAAAGATTTGTTTACACAAAACAATATTGTTCGAGGCTTAGTCTGCTTGAACAACAACATATTTGTCGTGAAAATATGATAAAGCACCCAAAAACCTCGAGCTAATGCACTTCTGAATGCATGACTAGATAGCTTTGACCAATTCAGATAACAAGTCAATGTTTGGTTCTTCTGTCTCTCCCTTTGCCACTTTTACGGCATAGCCCTCAACTTCATGTATTAGTTACCAGAAATTTAAATATTCCAGTTGAGGCGATGAAATTTGATATTTGAACCTTTTGCTAACAAGTCTCGAAGTTGTTCACGATGTTAAAATATCCAGAATCTACATGACCAGCTGGACTACATATTTGTATGAGTACGACGAACAAGAGCTCGACATATCGGGAGATTTTACATCCTTGAGGATAAACGTCTCTTCTACCCTCTTGTGTATACAAATCTTGAATGTAAATTGCTTGGTTTAGTTATATGAAATGACAGGCGTAGTTTTATCTTAGAAGTAATAGGGTATTGTTTTCTGCACATGTTTTTATGTAGAAAATGTTGCGTTTTTTGATAGAACAAAACACTTATAAGCGAATTCTACTAAAAGAATCTACTTTTTTCTTCGTTTATGGATGTAATCGTCATAATTTTTAATAGCTTGTGGTTAGGTATGTTCGTATATATTGCAACCAATCTGCAGGATATAACAAATCTTTGTTTCAAATCATAGATGGGAACATAAAGCTGTCAACATGTTACTGAAAAGTTAAAACAAAATATAAGGAGCATAAATAGGAGTTACCTGACGAACAAAAGCTAAATTGCTGGAAAAATTAATCCAGATATAGGAGTTATCTGCGTGGCTCGGTATTCATACATCCGGCCGTTATTTTATTGCGCTATGGTCATTTCTTGAATTCTTGTCTTTCATTTTTGCTTATTTACTAAGTCTATAGAGTATCTATATGCCATTTTGTTTTTCTTTGTTGACATAGTTGTTTGTTTTTATGGTGCTTAAAATTATAACACAATTGCTGAACCCCAATTTTTGACATTTTTACCTATTATGTCTATTTGCTTTGCTCACATATTGTTGTCAATATAATAGAATTCTATGCGACTGTCATACAAGTGAGAGGTTAAGCTAGCGATAAAAACAGATTTAATCCACCATTTTCTAAATTAGGAAATGCCTGTACCAAGTCAGGAATATGACAGTTGTTATCCATTCGTGTGATGTGTTTGAGGTTTTAATTTTGCTATTTGATAAGGGACTTTTCTTTTTGAATTTCCTTGGAGTTCGGTATATTTGTTATTTATTTTCTGCATAACAATGGCAGACTCCGTAAAATAAACATTACTAAGATGAGATTTAGGATAAATATCATGAAAACAGCAAGCAAACAACAAAAATAAAAAGATGACATATAGAGATAATCATACTATCTTCAACAATAGGAAAACTCTAAATCGTCCTAGTTTATGAAAGAAAAAAAATGCATCTAAATTAAATATCAACGATCTGCAGTGACTTACAACAGTCCCTAACATATAGTGACTTTGACTTGATTCAGCTTGAAAGTCTTAAAGGTTCCAGTATGAATATTTCTTTGTATAATATTATCCTTGATCAAAACTTACTAAATGTGTGCTGTTGTTGATTTGATAGACAAAGCTGTGGATCGTCGACTGCAAATGCTCGATATCGAGTGTGTGCTGCTATAGACTTCGGTACAGCATATTCAGGCTATGCTTTTAGTTCCAAGGATGACTATACAAAGGAACCAACTAAGACATACTCGGCTATTTGGTCTGGATCTAAACTATTGTCATTAAAAGCACCTACTGTTGTTTTACTGAATAAAAGTCAAGAATTTGTAGCATTTGGATATGAGGCTGAAAATATGTACTCTGAACTTGTATCGGATGGTGATCATGAGGATTATTATTATTTTCATTGCTTTAAGATGCTTCTCCATCAGAGGGTGAGTACCAAGTTTTTTTTATGTAGTTTAATATGTTTAAGGTAGATCGGATGTATTTTTCTGTGCATCCATTCTGGGCATGTTGCAAAAATACTTTTTTGATTTACCAAGTATCATTCAATATACAACAAAAATATCTAAAACTTTAATATAGTAATTAAACTATCAAAAAAATTATGTGTCGTAAAGTGTAATTAAATTCTTCTTAGAATAAATCCTTTTAAAATCAAGGACAGATAGTTATACTGAATTTGATGGGACAATTTTGTTTTTGGAATTTTTCAAGAAAAAAGACCCATGACCCCTATTTTTATTTGATATTTCAGAAGTACATGTATTGATAAAAAGCAAATCTATCGTTTAAGGTGGTACATAACACTACAGGGAGATAACTCTGTAAAAATCAGCAGAACTTTTAATTACGTTCTATTGTTAATGAAATATTAAGCTTCGCAATGATCAAAATAAGTGTTTGTCAAACTGCTATATGTCCAATGAAATTTTTCCGATAAAGTGTCTGGTTCAAGTGTTTTGAAATTATAATATTCTTGTCAAAGGGTCATAGTAAATATTTTGTCAAAATTTTATGAAAATTAAACGAGCCAAAATAATTTAAATCAAGGTGTTTGGTACCACCTTAATGTTTCCTAAATAAAGAAAAACTAAGTTTCCCCTCTATAAACGATATAAAATAACCCTGATTTCGTTAATTTCAATGTATTTTAACGAAAAAACAAGGTGTATGACCCCAAGTTTGCATATTGAAATATGAAAGAACATTAACCCAGTCTTTAACAGAAGTTTAAGAAAAATCAATCATTGAACATTTAGACACCCCGGCTACATTAAGGGTGGTTATTTTCATGTTTCTAACTTTATCTCAATGTTTTTAACATGTTTAACAGTTATTTCTCTGGCTATTTATTACAAGATTCATCATGTACATGTATTTAAAACTTAAAACTGTTTAAGCATGGTCCCTTTTCAAAAGTCTTTCAACTGTTACCTTGATTTCGCAAGGTAATCTTTTATATTTTTGTTACGTATATATGCATCGTTGTATTTTTAATATTTATAAAACATTTAGCGCCAAATTAAAGGACTAACGAGTTCTGTCCCCTAGTTGTTTTAAGCTTGTAATAGATTCAGATTAGGTATGCTAATTAGATATGTGCACATAAAAAGTGCGCACAAATCTCAGTGTGTGATTTTAAATTCTCATTGTGTAATTTCAAATTCTCAGGGTGTGTTTTTCAGTTTATTTCATCTCAGTGTGTCTTTTTGAAATCTCATTGTGTAATTTTCAATTCTCAGTGTGTAGTTTTCAATTCTCAGTGTGTAATTTTCAATTCTCAGTGTGTGTTTTTCCATTTTTTTGTAATCTCAGTGCGTCTTTATGAAATCTCAGTGTGTAATTTTTTATTCTCAGTGTGTGTTTTTAGGTTTTTTAATCTCAGTGTGTTTTTTTTAATTCTCAGTGTGTAAATTTTTCGAAAATGGTTTAAACATAGTTTTGACGAGAACGGCTTGCCATTGTACTTATCATCTGCTGTACGTTTTGCTGCATAAACTTACACAAAACTTATACACAAATATTAATCAGCAACTCCTTTAAAACAACTGTACGGAATTCAGCTGTGCAACCGCTGTTTAAATGTTTTGTCGTTCTGGTTTTAGTGAATCTTTTTATTTATCATACAGAAACATGGACTTTGCTATTACAACTTCTTGCTTATGTTATCTTCCTTGGAAAACAGACACTTGTGGAGAGTTGTCTCATTGGCATTCATATCACATCTTCTTTTTATATATACATTTATAGAATCAATATTTACTAATGATGTCAAATCATGGAATAATTAATAATCAAGTATCCGTTGGTTTTACAGAGCAATACTCAAGTACTTGCTCTGAAAAATATTCACAAAATGGGAACACAGTAATAAATATACTCTTTTAACACTGTATGGGTAGTTTTCTAATGTATATTCCATCCTCTACCTTATTATTTGGGACAAAATAATAGTTAGCAGATTTATATATCACAATACATAGCTGATTTAACTAAATGAATTCACAAGAAAATCAATTTTATAAAGAGAAGGAGACCGTAGCCTTACAGGAAACGGATTAGATGAGTATCATCTTGGTATTCGTTACTCTGTATTGCCGAGCAATGCTCAAGTATTGGAGTACTTCTTAACATCCCCAATATCTACATATGTGTATGTAATAAATACTAGCATAGTGACAAATGTATCTAAATCCATTTGCTATAACAATTTTTTTTTAATATTTTTGCAGAGAATCACAAGAGATATAAAGATAAAAGATGAGCTGGATAAAGAAATGGAAGCTTTGAAGGTGTTTCAGTATGCAATTCAGTTCCTGAAGGATCACTTATTTAAGAGTATATCAGATAAAATAAAAGGTATCCAGGAAAATGATGTGCACTATGTTCTAACAGTACCTGCTACATGGGAAGACTCTGCCAAACAATTTATGAGAGAAGCTGCAACAAAGGTTTGTTCTAGGCAGAAATGTTTTATTTTTTTAATCTTTGAGTTTACTCTCCTATGGTAATGTTAAAATAAAATACCAATACATGCTGGAAATATCTATTCATGATGGTATGATACTAAACCCCTAACGGGAGAGATTGTGCTTCATTTTCATATGATGAAGACATAATCAAGTTTAATTGAGGTCTGGAGCTGGCATGTCAGTAACTGCTAGTAGTCCTTTGTTAGTTTATGTTGATCATTGTGTTATTTTGTTTAGTTTCTTCTGTTACCTTTTCTAACATCAGACTCGGACTTAAGGTATTAACCAAAAACTTGTCAAGGGTAAAGGGAAATCATGATTGCATTTAAGTGGCAGGTAAAGTGTCTCAGGTACATTGTAAATATACATGAAGTAGGGCGCCTGTTAAAACGTTTAAACCCGCTGCATTTGTTTGCACCTGTCCTAAGTCAGGAACCTGTTGTTCAGTGGTTGTCGTTTGTTGATGTGGTTTATAAGTGTTTCTCGTTTCCCGTTTTTTATATAGATTAGACCGTTGGTTTTCCTATTTGAATGGTTTTACACTAGTTGTTTTGGGGCCCTTTATAGCATGCTGTTCGGTGTGAGCCAAGGCTCCGTATTGAAGGCCATACTGTGACCTATAATGGTTTACTTTTTACAAATTGTGACTTTGATGTAGAGTTGTCTCATTGGCACTCATACCACATCTTCTTATATCTATATATGTCTCAAATTTAATTACTGTGATAATGACAAGAAAATAAAAAAATGAAATAATTTAATAAAACTTGTTGAACATATAGCTAAATAATATTTTTTTAGAAAAAATTGTCTCATGACCTCTTCTTTTATATATAGCTTATATTGCCATGACTGTATATATTGCTGTTATTATTTCTTATTTTATTTTTTGGCAAACTTGCACAGTCTCCAATTTCTACTAATTTGATAATCCTTAATTGTAATTTAAAAAATCAGGAAATTATTGGGCAAAAGGGGAGGGGGGCAAAAGGGGAAGGGGGGGGGGGGGGGGGGGGGGGGGGGACGAAGCTGATATTTTATTTTAGGATCAGAACACCGTTAATTAGAAGTGAGGATAATTAAATATACACAGAACAAAAAATGATTTAATATAATAGTTCAGAAAAATATCACAATCTATAGATGTGTATTTCATTATTCCTGGAGAAAATGTTGGTTGTTAACTGACAGAAATTAGGCAACTGAAGATGTCATATTTGATTAGTTTACAATTATTTCAATAAACAAGACAATTGTTTTTTAATTTTTTTTTTCCATAAGATTAACTATATATAGAAAATTCTTCATTAGCATTTTTGATGAAGATTTATCAAATGTTGATGATATACTAGTATATTCTGAATGTTGGACAAAACCTTACTGAACAAAAAGTACGGTACTAACTTATCTGCTCCAGATGGGCACACATTTGTAAAATTAAAGTCTTTTCTTTGATGCTACAGGCGCAACTCTTGTTTTGAGATTTGTTAAAATAAATGATATATTTGCAGTTTTCCTGAATAATAATACATTGTACAACTTTGTAGTCAAAATTTATTGTAAAAGAAATGATAATGATCATTTTATTATTAAGAAGACAGGCTTATTAAATTACTGGCTTCATGATGCATATAAACATACCATTTGCATATAAGAAGTTAAAAATTATTCATTTACTAGTAATAATAATGAAAATGAACAATTGACTACAATGTATATGATGAACAATAACTCTTTTTTTAAGTATATTATTTCAAGGATTCTCTGATTTGTTTTCAAATGCTAATCAATAACTTATCTTTGACTTTTTGTCTTAACTATTTTGTGGCTTTCTTTCTGTTTACCTATATTTTTTTAACACCATGAAACCAGTCAAACAAAAACTTCAAATAAGCCATATTGCTAAATATATATAGTTTTAATCTATATCATTTAATCATTATTATATTTTAATAAATTATAATTTAAGGGTTTTTTACAAGTTGTTTCACATTTAAAAAAAAAGAATTAGATAAGTCTTTTGTAAATCACAGAAAGAAAAAAAATATCATAAACTGAATTGTAGCTTTTCCTCCTTAGTCCTTGGGGAAAATAATAAAAGTAATAAAAAACACCTTACTGCCTATGTCATAAGCAGTATGAAAAAGATTCAAATGAATTTGCTACAATATAAATACTTGGCACTGCTTGAGAAAGGGAATTAATTTGCAACCCATAACAATACAGAATTATAAAATTAGTAGAACAATTTACATGTACAGGTAAAGTTTTGATGCAGGATGTCATTTACATACCATCTTCTAATAAATAGATAAAATCAGTGCATCTCTCCAGGTAACCTTATTAGATTGACCACCAGCCCATGGTTTATGACCCCAATAAATGGCCAATAGCCCAAGTTTTATGACCCCCAATAAATGGTCACAATTTGATGTTGAACATGGCAGATGTTTAACAATTATAAGAGAATGTCACAGGTTGTACTGTATACCAATTTGACGGAAACTAGTTGACGTCGTTTTAAAGGAGTTATACCATTTAAAAAAGTATTTTTTCACAAATTATTAAGTTTTGTCTATTATTTTAAAAGCTGTAATAGATAAGAAGAAAATGTGAACAGCAATACAAGATTTCAAAAATCCCAATATGTCTGGCTCCTCATATAGACTCATATAGAAGTTTTGCCTTTCAATGATTTTTCTTGCTCCTGCCGCTAGGCGAAGTGGGAATTAAGTGTTACCCTTGACCGTCCTTCCGTTTGTCCTATTTTCGTTTCCGCACTTTAAGTTTTCTTCTTCTGAATTTTATGAGACTCATACACAATGAACAGTAAAAATGACCAACAATAAAAACTTAATTTTACAAACATGTCAATATGACCAAAATGATTGGATGACTCCAAATAGGAGTAACTGCACTGAAATGAAGTCTTTTGTATAAGTTTTTTTCCACTGGGTCGATGCCTCTGCTAGTGGACTGATAGTCCCCGATGGCATCACCAGCCCAGTAGCCAGTACTTCGATACTGGCATGAAAATACGGATTTTGTGTTATTAAAATTTGCTGTTACAAAATTTTGGAAATTATTTAAAATTAAGGAATGTATCTCCCTCATGCAAAGCTCTGATTCCTTGTCCGGCTTTGGCTATACTTTTTTGTCCTTTTTGGTTTGTAGCTTTTCATCTTTTTGATAAGCTTTGGATTTTTCAAATAGTTTGGCCTCGAGTATCACTAAAGAGACATTGATTGTCGAAATGCGCAACTGGTGCAGAAAAATTGGTACCAGTTTTTGTCTATTATCATGATAAATAAAATAGTTTTTAAGTAGAAACTATAAACAGAAAATAAGAAATGATCAGAAATACAAGATGGGCAAAAATGCAAATATAATGGAAACAATTGAATGACTAACTAAGGGAGTTTATAACAATTTTTAGTCTCTGTCTATTATTTAGAAAACCACAATCTCTTTTTATTTAACTGGAAGGCTTCCGAAAAGCTGTATGTCTGCAAAAAGAGGTTTGTTTCTAAAATAACATATTATTTTATTTTGAAAAAGTTTAAACTAAATATCAAATTTCTATATGTTTACCAGATGAGAGATTCGGGCTCTGTGGAGCCTTTTGTTGAATATCCATATAAGATAATTTTCTATTCTCTATAAACTATATATTTACAGGCTGGTATTAGAAGTGGACAGTTGAGTATTGCTTTAGAGCCTGAAGCAGCTTCTATTTACTGTCAGCATATAAAGACTGAAAGACAGGATCCTAAAGATAAAAATGCATTTGCACAGACAATTAAAGCAGGAATGAAATACATGGTAGTTGATCTTGGAGGTAAATAAGTTCAAACTTTACGAGGGGAGGAAACACAATTTTAAATAGTTGCTTTATCGTCACTTACTAAGTTTACATGTCATTCAAGTGAGATAACAATTTCAATGAACACAACAGATTTTTTTGTCATTAAGTATGCTCAAGACCAGGACGTCAAGCAACCAACTATCAATCAATCTTAAATAAATAACAGAAAAAAGTGTTAACTGCACAAGACATTTAAAAACATTACAGTAAAGGATTTACCGTATTATGATCTTCTTTAAAATCTCTCAAAACTACATGGCTTATTTCGATCTTTCGGTCCGTTTTTCAATTAGTCTTTCCGTCCATCCTGTATCACTGTATCAGGCTCAAGTTTTGGTTTAGGGTAGTTTGTGGTCACACCTACTTGAAACTTAGTACACAAGTTCATTATTAAGTGAACTGTTTAAGGAGGTAGACCTGGGGTATAGGAGACAACTCTTACAAATGTATTAGAAGTCATCTGTGCGTTTCAACCTAACAAATATTACAACAGTGACCAAGCATCTATGTTGTCTACATTTGGTTATTTTTCATTTTAAACATATGTTATTCATAAAGATAAGAAACGAATTGAGCAACAGGCACAGCCTACAAAAGCTTTCTCAATATTACATGTACAAGGTTTAAATCAAATATTAACAACTGTATTCAGAATAAAATAATATAGTGTAAAATGCATGCTACTTATGAGCATACACAAGCAAATATATATTTACAGTGTTAATTACTAAATATATAGTATATTTAAGCATATAGGCAATTAATCATCATCTATTCAAGTAACTTGATACATGTAAATATCCTTTATAAGTCATTAGAAGTATATATGAGGTTTGGAAGAGATACTAAGCTTACTTAGTGGAATAAGAGAGTAAATGTTGAAAGAAAAAAGGAAAGAAATGAAAAAAAACAAAAAATAAGAAAATTTCAACAAAAACGGTGAGTGTCACTGATATATTTCTGAACAGATTTGAAAATAGCAATATTCATATCATACGAAAATAATCTGTTTCCAAAAAGTAATAAGTCAATATTTACGTCAACATTGTCAACAATTGAGTGAATGGATTCAAGTAAGATCTGTCTTACATCATTGTACTTAAGGCAAATAAAAAAGAAAAACTAGTTATCCTCAATAGGATGATTACAGTTTGCACAAATAGTGTTTTCTGATAAGAACTGATTAAACAAATGAGATTTTAAGTTGCTACCATTATTTCTGAGTTGACAGTGACTAATATTATTTTCCTTAGCCCATAATTGAAAGGTTTAGATATTTTTTCAGTCCTATAAAACTTGTCCAGTCCACCTCTAAATATACATAAACTTGGTGATTTTTGTATACATAGTGGAAGACTATTCCAAAGTCTGATAATGGAAAGACTTGGGGGTGAAAAGTATTATTTTCATTCCTCAAATATAAGGGGTTTGTCTGGGAAAATATGACTGGACTAGCTCATAAAAGTATGTAGGTGTCATCCCATTTAATATTTTATAAAACAGTATAAGCTTATGATTATTTCGTCTATTCTCCAGAGTTTCTAATCCTAATTCAATATAAAGTTTTTGTTTTGAGGAATTACGCCGTAGTCCAGTAATAATTCTAGCAGCTTCTATTTTCAAGAAGCGCGGACTCGTGCTGGGAGCAATTGTCCCAAACAACATCACCATACTCTAATACAGGTCTAATTTAAGCATAATTAATACGAATACGTGAATTCCTGTCTAATAGATATTTAATTGTGGAAGCACAGACAAACGAGAGCATGTTATTTTATGAACATTATCAATATGTGTGTTCCATGAAGCTGATGACTGAAATGTTATCCCAAGATGACAGTGAAAATAATTTTCTCAACGTCTCCACTATTCATCCCAAAAAATACAGGTGGATGCCCCCTTTCCCTTTTATTAAATACAATTAAATTGAACAGCTCATGTTTTCGCCCAGTTTAAGATAACATCTAAGTCATCAGTCAAAGAAGCAGCTGCTACAGCATGATCATCGTCTACTACAACAAATTAAGAGGTGTCATCTACAAAAAGTATCATGTCATTAACAATGTCATTCACTATATCATTTATATAAATAAAAAAAGAAGGGGTCCTGTCTGTTTGTTTTGTTCACACATCGTTGTCAAAATAATGAAATTTTATGCGACTGTCATACAAGTGAGAGGTTTAGCTAGCTATACAACCAGGTTTAGTCCACCATTTTCTACATAAGAAAATACCTGTACCAAGTCAGGAATATGACAGTTGTTATCCATTCGTTTGTTGTGTTTGAGCTTTTGATTTTGCCCTTTCCGTTTAGAATTTTCCTCGGACCTCGGTATTTTTGTTATTTTACTTTTTCCTAAAACTGATCCCTGAGGGACACCTGCATATATACTTCGGATCAAGTATAGAATACGTAATTGTAGTTCCATCGGATTATTATTTTTTCATAGAAGGTAAATTGGTTCTTATATATATAAGGGAGTTTTTTTTGTTTTCAGTTATTTGGTTTTCATTTTCATAAAACAATTATAGTTCCTTTTATTTTTAAGTAAATTGTGTGCATTTAAAATATTGTAAAGATTAAATGGTCGACAGGTCAGCAGTCGACAGGTCAGCAGGTCGACAAGTCAGCAGGTCGACAGGTTAGCCGGTTAAATGGTCGACAGGTCAGCAGGTCAAAAAGTCAGCGGGTAGACAGGTCTGCAGGTCAACAGGTCAGCAGGAGGTGAGCAGGTTAGGGTTAGCATTAGGGTAAGGCCTAGGGTTAGGGTTAGTGTAAACGTTCGACTAGCCTTTAAAAAGTTTTTAAGTGAGGATATTTTATCGACCTGCTGACTTGTCGACCTGTCGACCTGCTTACAAGCCGACGTATCGGTCTGCTGACCTGTCGACTTGTATACCTGTGGACTTGTAGACCTGCTGACTCAATAATCCGATAACTTGTTAATATGCTGACCTGTTGACTTGCATACCTGCTGACCTGTCGACCTGCTGACCTGCTGACTCAATAATCCGATTGTTGGAGCCCAATTATTTTTTATGCTGGCCTGCCGACCTGCTGACTTGTTGACCTGTCGAATTGCTGCCCTGTAGACCCGGATCTACTTAAACGTATACTATACTTGAGCCTATACTTCTAAGAGTTAATGTAAAGCCTTCTAAAACTACCTTTTGCTGACGATCTAAGAGATAACTTTCTATCCAAGATAAGAGCTGATCATTTAAGCTAGATTGTTTAAGTCACAAAAAATGGTCACACCACCACCATGTCTATTTCCATCTAACCTTATAGGTTTGTGAAACCCATTTAAATTAATTTGGTCATCATTAATCGACTTGTCTAGATGAGATTCTGATATACAAATAATGTCATACTCATGTAGTTCATTGTTAATGAAGTCTAATTGAGGAGGAAGTAAACTACACACATCAATGTGTACTATTTTCAAATTCTTTTTATTACTCTGATCTAGACCTGGATTTTGCTCAGTTCCTGCAATCAGTAACAAAAACTGAATAATACTACTGAGGATAAAAACATTTTTTTTGATAATAGGGAAGATTATGTTGTGATTAATATAGTTTACAAATTTTACAGATTAATGTTAAAACATTGATCATTCACAACTATCAATACTAATAATGAATCTTTACTCAAACATAACCATATGATATATTTGTACAGACAATTGAAACATGGACCAAAAACTGACAAAGATTGACAGGACACTTAAAACTAAACGAGAGAAAGTACAAAACAAAACATACATAACGTATATTCAAAAGGAAAACATAGATAAATAACAGATGTTAACAGTACCAATTAACACTTGTCTTAGTGCTACTGTAGTAGTATTGAAAAAAAGAGCAATTTCACCGGTCATTTTATACTTCAAGGAAGAAACTGCCCTATCACGAGACACCTCTTAGGAACAGGACATACTTTTGAAAATATCACCTTTCAAATAATAGAGGTTAACCAAAATTGGGTCACCCAAATCAGAAAACAGAGAGAGAGATTCTGGATGCATCAGCTACGTACTCTTGATCCTGATGGACTGAATGAGAGAGATGAAAAACAGTTTTATCCAAAACCAAAGGAATAAATCTTGAACTTCATACTATTTAACTAAAACTATTTTTTTAATACTATCAGAATTAACTTGCATGCATGTATCAATTACATTTCCTGTCTCCATCTGGGTACTTTTGTATTTTTTTAAACAGGGTTTATTGTGTGGTCATTGAATATAATTCTATGCAACGATATATATGCATTTTCTTCTTTTTTTCTATGTTCTTATATATTTGTAAAAAGTAAAATAACAAAAAAAAAATTCCTAATCAAATGACTAAATCAAAAAAGCTCAAACACATCAAGCGAATGGATAACAACTGTCCTAATGTAATTGCGTGGTTTTTATTGAAATTTTTACCATATATATATTCTAAAATCATGTGATATTTTGTACAGGTGGCACCGCCGATATTACAGTTCATCAAAGATATGGAGATGGTTCACTTAAGGAAGTTGTTCCTGCAAGTGGTGGTCCATGGGTGGTAAATCTATAGATGAAGCTTTCCATAGCTTTCTTAAAAGAATTTGTGGACCCAAAGTCATGGAAGAATTAAGAAAAACTGAACCTGAGGACTTCCTTAACTTATTTAGAGAATTTGAAACTAAAAAGAGGTCAATACGTGTAAATCAAACTAACAAAGTAGTCGTTACATTGCCTGTTGCCTTAATTGATTTAGTAAAAAGCCATAGAGGTAAAATGGAGACCGCTCTAGAGCAATCACCATACGGTCAGGAAGTTTCCTACAACAAGCTAAAGCTTCACATTTTCCCAGATACATTTAGAGATTTATTCAAATCTACAACTGCAGCCTTAATAACACACCTAGAAAGAATGTTTCGTGATGACAAGTTATCTGATTTAGAAAATCTTATTATGGTCGGAGGATTTTCAGAATGTGAGCTTATACAGCATAAAATGAAAGAAACATTTGGAAAACATAAAAAGATAATTATTCCTGAAGAAGCAGGTCTGGCTGTCCTAAAAGGGGCAGTTTTATATGGCCACCAACCGAAGGCTATCAGCGCTAGAGTATTTCGTCATACTTATGGTATCCAGAGCTGGCCAGAATGGGATTCTCAAATGCACCCTCAATCGAAGAAAGTCAATCTGGGTGGTGTTAATCGTTGCAAGGATGTATTTTTCAAATTTGTCCAAATTGGTCAGCAAGTGGAGACTGGTCATGAAGAATCCCAAGTAATCCAAGTTTTGAAATCCGACAGAAGAACCCTAGAGTGCAAAATTTACGTATCAACAGACCCTAACCCACGATATGTTACCGATCGAAGCTGTCAGAGACTAGGTAACTTAATCATTCCGTTGTCAGAATTCAGAGCTGGACAAATATTAGAGATAGAAGGGACGATGGTATTTGGTGACACTGATCTTTTAGTCCGAGCAAGAGATTTGCACACTGGAAGAGTTGTTGAATCACAGTTTAATTTGTTATAAAGTGCCAAACTAGATTATCATTTACTAAGTGATTCATTGTACGTTGGCATGCTTACTGTAAATTGTATTTTACCATATTATAAGAATTGATTTCCTAATTTACTTGGATTCTATCATATGAAATAAAGGATTTAACTTCAATAGCGCCATTGGATAACTATTTATAGAGGTATCCGTAATTCCATAAATGTTCCCATTAAGCTATTAAATTTGCAAAAGGGACCAATTTTTGTTTTAATGTTAATTTATTCATGTTTAGTGGACTTATACATATGGTCTGCATACAAGACTAAAAAATGTGTACTTTGTAGAACTTTTAAATTCTTTGTTCACCTGTACTCACGAAATCCACAAAAATTATAATAATGAATCAACAGTAATAAGTATCGATTGACAACTAAATTATCACAAAACAATTTTATTAGCGGAGCAATGACCAATGAATTTAACGGATATTTGCAATCAACAAATAAAAAATTGATGCCTGCAAATCTTCAAATACTTTATTATTATACGTTTTTTTATCAGTTGACAAAATTCAAAGAAATTTTTAATTCTTCACAAATATAAAAGTTGATCAACGTAAACCTTATAAAAGATTAATGATTCATTTTAATATAACGTCCTTCTTTCGCTTTGGAAACAAAGCCATGTTTTAATGACAATAAAACATGGGTTGCACGTGATTGAAATTGCATCGTGAGTTGTATTTTGAACAACGCCGGAGGTCGAAATGGACAATTTTGTTGGTGTTGCTCGCTAGGAAATTAAATAATCATTGTAAAAGTAATTTTACGTATATATGTTGATTTTTATTGTTCAACTGTTGATTTTCTGTTATGTTTTTGGTTCATCAAATCAAAATGGCTGCATTTTCAATGTGTATTATAGGTCTGCTTCGAAGTACAAAAGTTCTAAATATTACTAGAAGAATTTTATTTGTCAATATTTTACACGCTCGGTATAAAGATATTGACAAATATAATGTCTACCTATGTTAAAATGACCATAAAGCATGGCAGGAAAGAATTATTTCTTAACTGTTAAATCTAATGTAATCTGTGCAATAATTTTATAGCTTAAAATTAAATGTTGGAAACAATTAATATGCTACCAATTATGTAATGTTATTTTGATTTTGGTGTGTGACCACCATATTACCTTTAATCCTATAGATTCAAAATTGAAAATGGAAATTAAGACATATATGTAATGTATGTGTACATGACAACCAATCCTTTCTGAGTATTGGCCTAAAATGATTTCTGGGCAGCATTTTAAGAATATCTTTAAACAGTATTTACTATGGAAGTTTTTATCTGTTGGATGCATGTCCTGGTTTTCTGTCAAATACTGTAGTGCTGATCTTTTGTTCTAAAGAATTTATGTGCATTCCATGGGGCAGTTCAATTTTATTAAGGCACTAAAACATAGAGAACAATGTCCACTGCCTTGTACTTATTGATTGAGGACCTGGAATAAACTTAAATTAATGTAAATCAGTATATTCAAATTTCCTGATTATCCGTTGTGAAAATAATTTCAATACAATTAATCTTATTACTAAAAGGAGGATATGTGGATTATAGATTTGGTTGGCCCTGTTATTAGTCTCAATTTAACATTTATTGAAAAAACTTGTTAGTTGTATATCCAACATGGAGAATAACATACCTATCCGCAGCACATAAATCACATCATTGTTTTGATTTTTTTTCTCTGATTAAATCATGCAGAAATGTAGTTTGATTCTATTATTAAATACACTATATTTACTTTCTTGATACATGTATATCACACGACAGTTTTTTTTTATCACTTTTGTATTTTACTTTCATCAAGATAGCGACATATGTAACTATTTTTATTTCTTCATTTCTTTTATCCTTTGATGAAGGTAGACATTATGTTTAAGTAAAATGTTTATTCTTCTTCGTCTTTTTCTTTCTTTTTCTTCTTCTAATTGTTTTGTCTCAGCCAAGACTTTTTTTTATCTTTTGACAATGGCATGATATTTGGACTGACCATGTTTAACGAAACCACAGTGCGTCAAACTTCATGACATTTATGCAATCTTGACCTTTGTACTCTTGGTAAGAATAATTGACTTTTTGGGATAAAACATTACTATATACTCTTTTACATAGGTTTTTGATATTTGGCAATTGATTACACCACCTTATGACAATGTGTTAGGTACCTTTAAATATTGCCTTGGACTTGGATTTTGACCTTTAAGGTAATTAATTTTTTATATGTCCAAGCCAAATCCTTATATATTGTTGTTTGTTTATTAGTCATGTCATAGCTTTTTGAGATCTACATACTAAGCTTTCAAAAGCCTTTTTCAATAAAAAAAAAATGAAAACAACACGTTATAAATTTCATGCATCCGAAGCGCTTTTCTGGATTTACCTTCATCAGGAACGCTCAAAGCCAAATATTTGAAAGCCAAGGATTTATAATGACCGAAAACGTTGAAGAGCTATAAACCAAATACTACCTAAAAAATAGCCAAATCCATCTAAGGCCAACTTTGCCTGAGGGAGTTGAAACCTTAGTTTCTATGTAATTTCGAAATTTATAAACGGGCAAATTTAGAAAGTTTGTTATAAATCATGTCAGTACCGAAGTACTGACTACTGAGCTGATAATACCCTCGGGGACTGATAGTCCACCAGCAGAGGTATCGACTCAGTGCTGTAAATAATGAAAACAACACGTTATAAATTTCATGTTTCCGAAGCGCTTTTCTGAATTTACCTTCATCAAGAACGCTCAAAGCCGAATATTTGAAAGACAATGATGTATAATGACCGAAAACGTTGAAGAGAATATATAATCTTTTCTTTTCTATTCTGTACGATGTTCCAAGATGTTTCGGAGGACAAATATATGGTCAATACAACTTTTGCTTAGTCTAAAACCAGTTCTCGCAATACGTGTAGTACAACTCATATTAAAGGAGACAAAAATCATGGACAGCTCTGAACATGCTGAACAGATAAAAACAAAAGAGTGAAACACTGCAGAACTTATGAAGCAAAATAAAAAGTACCAAACAATAGAAAATGCAGACAAAAAATAAGGGGGGAGGGGGGTCTGTTGGAGTACTTTCCCATAAGTTATAGGAAGTAATGAATCTCATTGAAGCATTTAATTACTGTAAATTCAGAAATTATTGCGAGGTTTTTATTATTGCGGAAAATGCGACAGGGTTATAATCGCAATAATTTAAACTCGCATTTTGAAATTTTTTATATGAATTAAACAGGATTATTCTCAATATCGCAAAAATGAAATTCGCATTTTAGTCTAAAATGACAAAATCGCAATAATAAATACACGCAATAATTTCTGAATTTACAGTAGTTTATAGAAATTAAAGGAGATGTGGGTTTATGTATGCTGATGGGACAGCAATACAATGACAAGAAAAAAAACTACCAAAAATAACGAAAAGACTTCTAGAGGTCACTATCCGTTATAGACTTATATCTTTACAATATGTCATGCTCTAAATCGAACATATAAGTGACTCTAAGAAATTGTGAATAAATTAGAATTAAGACTATGAGGTCTGCAATCAACACCAAATTCCATAAAACAATGGGATATAACAGAAGACAACCACTGACGAGTTACCTGACTTAAAACACGAATGTGGACATGTGATGGAGTTAAACTTGTCGCTTTCATTATCAAAGCGTATACGCTTTTGGCATTTCTTGTTTTCCTGAACAGTTCTTTTCCTAATGTTGTTTCTGTGGGTGCTGATTCCTGAAAAAAAAACCAACCGAAGTTATAAATACTTTTTTTTTGGCCGATTTAAGGAAAATTCTCAGGACACTTGAACCAAATTTGCTAGAAGGTGCTTAACAAATGTTGTTACTTTAGTATCGATATGAGTTTCAAAATGGTCACCAATTGAACGTAGAAGCAAGCAAATCAAAACAGTTTTAATTTAAGTCGGCAAGTTAAATAACAATTCAACATAAACTCTGAGCGAGGTTTTGAATCGAAATAAATAATACATTAAAAACATGCATAGTATATTCAGTGCGTGCAGACACAATATGACAACAAAAGAGATAGAATAGTTTACACATAGATCCATAGAACTGAATTAAGCAGCATATCTAAAAGATTGTTTATCATATCTGGTTGTTTTCACTTGTGGTATCTGTTAAATATAAGAATATGTGGAAGAATCCTTCTTCCGGCATCTTGACTCTGACTGCATCTTTCTGGCCGCAATAATCTATGTGTTCGTATAAATATCCTGCCTTGAGAAATGACACAGGTAACTGCGGCAGAAAAAGAGTTTATGATTGTGTGATGATATTTTCTAACTCAAGAGTCGTGATACGCTCTTATGGCGTTAGTCAAAAACAAGAGATCTACATGTCTCGTACCGGTATTCTTTGATTTCTTTAGGGAATATACTTGGAACTCCTCTTCTCCATCCTCATATCTTTTTACACCCTCGTAACCATAGACATTGACGTTGATGCTTGTATTCCTTTTCTTGAATTTGTCGATCGCCTTGAGTGAAACTGGGAATTCAATACCATCGAGCTTGAGCTCATCCACCCACTGTGTGTACTAACTTTCCCGCTTAGTACAGTTTTTATCAACTTCTTCGTAATGTAGAGCTGATAATATAGCCCAGCAAAATCTTTCCTGGTCCTTATTTTGTACGTTGATGATGGCCTTCTTATGAGTGAGTGGTTTTAGGAATGATATGTATTATAGATACAATGGATAAGCGTAGTTTCCCCGGATGGCGAATGGTTTGTTTTTCAAGAATCAACGCTTATCCATTGTGTGTCTAATTAAAAATAAAAGCAACAGTAGTATATCGCTGTTCAAAAGTCATAAAATTACTATTGTGTTGATGTCTTTTCACAATTAAAGCCGTTTCTTAATTAGATGGTATTGTAAGCGAGTTTAAATAACCCTGTTATCATTTTCAACGATGCAAGACAAGACAAGAAAAAACTTTATCAAAGTCTCACTACTTGTTACTTATAAAATATACAGCATAGTTAAACACAAGTTAAAAACAAGAGCCACTCTATAAAGAGTTATGAAAGCCTATAAAACAATTTTTTAGATAATACAAATACAGGTGAGTATAAAATACATTTTCGCTTTAATAAAACTTCAGTGCAGATTTTGGCAGTATAAAATACCATATTTTCATTAGTAAAAAAAATATCAATTCATAATTAATAAATCAAAGTTCACAAACATTTGGTTAGAGAAATACAAATATAACATAAAACGTCTGTCTTTAAATTGTTATGCATCAGAATAGTAATTTATAAAATAAGACATATTCGAACTTATATTTGTATATATGTAACACTCCCAAACGTGTCCGATTCCCCCAAACGTGTCCGTAATATTCAATATTCCCCAAACGTGTCCGATTTCAGAACCCCCAAACGTGTCCAATAATTGTTATTCGCCAAAACGTGTCCACTATTTAACGCCAGAACGTCTCACGTCTTTTAGCGCAATACATGTATGTCCTAAATGAAATCAATAACGCGTTTACCGCAATTCTATGATGGGGGGAAACAGTTGATGAGGTAGTAACTTATTAGCATTAGTTTGTTCAATGTCGGTTGTTAATGATTATCATAATTGCAAATTTAATATATAACATATGAATTAACTTTTGACTGAATTTGCTTATTGTCAAGTTGCAAGTATTTCATGCTCATTTAGAGCAAAAAAAATAAATCTAGTGCAGTTGAATTAATCGTTTACTATGTAAATTATGTGTTACTAATAAACTCCGATGATGCCTTTTATAGTAATCATACGGCGGGCTTTCAGCAGAATTGACTTCCCCTTTTTTCAACAGTTCTGATATTTTAAAAGCTCTTCAAATCATAAACTGGTTTTCAGGTTATTTAAAAAATTTTAGGCTTCGAGCATCATCAAAGACACACGAACAAGAGGAAATAACGTCCAGTGTCAAATATTTCATGCATTATTTTAACGACATCATGTTAACAATAAATACTATACTGTATATAGGTTCTATTATGATACCGGGAATTTAGGATTGGGCCTAAATTTTGACGGTTATTCGGGATTAACACTAAT